ATAAACTTCGTGTCATGCACAAAATCATTTAAAATGTTGTATAAATTACCTTCAAGGGATGTATATAAGGTATATATGGAAACAAAATGAATTTCATGTTTAGTTTTGGGTCTCATCACCAAGATATGTCATTATGTATATGCAAGCATTCCATAATTAAAAAGAAAAAAAAATAGCCAGGTGTTATGGCAGGCACCTGTAGTCCCAGCTACTCAGGAGGCTGAGGCAAGAGAATTGCTTGAGCCCAAGAGTTTAAGGTTGGTATGAGGAATGACACCATGGCACTCAGCTGAGGATGACAAAATAAGACTCTGTCTCCAAAAAAAAAAAAAAGAAAGAAAGAAAAAGAAAAACCCAGCCAGGCACCACAGTGAGCAACTATAATCTCAGCAGCTTCCAGAGGCTGAGGCAGCAGGATGCCCACAATCCGGAGTCTGTGGTTGCAGTGGGCTATGACGCCATTGCACTCTGCTTAGGGCATAGGGTGGTTCTCTGTCTCAACAACAACAAAAGTTCCTAAAAAGAGAGAACTGTTTCATTCTTTTTTTTTAGACAGAGTCTTTGTCGCACTCAGTAGAGTGCCGTGGCATCAGAGCTCACTACAACCTCAAACCCTTGGGCTTATGTGATTCTCTGGCTTTCTGCTGCAATGCCCAGCTTTTTTTCTTTCTTTTTTTTTTGCAGTTTTTGGCCGGGGCTGGGTTTGAACCTGGCACCTCCGGCATATGGGACTGGAGCTCTACTCCTTTGAGCCATAGGTGCTGCCCCCCACCTTTCTTTTTTAGAGACAAGGTCTCACTCTGGCTCAGGCTGGTCTCGAACTTCTGAACTTGAGCAGTCTATCCATGTTAGCCTCCCAGAATGTTAGAATTACAGGTGTGAGCCACTGCCCCTGGCTGTTTCATTCTTAATAAAATAATTTCTAGAATTTTCTGAGACTTATAAGGCCAGGCACGGTGGCTCACACCTGTATTCCTAGCACTCTGGGAGGCGGAGGCAGGTGGATTGCTTGAGCTCACAGGTTCGAGACTAGCCTGAGCAAAAGCAAGACCCTATCTCTACTAAAAATAGATAAACAGACAAGAGGATTGCTTAAGCCCAACAGTGGGAGGTTGCTGTGAGCTAGGACGCCACAGCACTCTACCCACAGCAACAGCTTGAGACTGTCTCAACAAAAAATAAAATAATAAGACATAAAAAGAATGCTCTAAAATGTCTTTTTTTTTTTTTTTTAAAGGAAAAAAACTTAAGATTTGAAAACACAGGCTCGGCACCTATAGCTCAAGTGGCTAAGGCGCCAGCCACATACACCTGAGCTGGCAGGTTTGAATCCAGCCCTGGCCCACCCAAAAACAATGACAGCTGCAACAACAACAAAAAAATAGCTGGGCGTTGGGGCAGGTACGCCCTCCAACTTCTGGGCTCAAGCAGTTCTCTTGCCTCAGCCTCCCAAGTAGCTAGGACCACAGGCGCCCACCACAGTAGTCCCAGCTGTTTGGGAGGTGAAGGCAGGAGACTTGCTTGAGCCCAGAAGTTGGAGGTTGCTGTGAGCTGTGATGCCATAGCACTCTACCTAGGGCAACAGCTTGAGGCTCTGTCTTAAAAAAAAAAAAAAATTAGCTTGATTTAGCCATTCTACCACATATATATATTTCTTTTTTTTTTCTCTTGCCTCAGCCTCCCAAGTAGCTGGGACCACAGGCGCCCACCACAACGCCTGGCTATTTTTTGGTTGCAGCCGTTGTCGTTTTGGCGGGCCCGGGCTGGATTGGAACCTGCCACCGTAGGTGTATGTGGCTGGCGCCTTAGCCACTTGAGCCACAGGCACTGAGCCCATATATGTATTTCGAAACATCATATTCTATAACACAGATATGGATAATGTCTATTTCAATTAATTTTAAAAAAACAAAAAGAAAAAACATCCTTTCTTTGCCTCTAACCATCTGAATAAGTTATTTCACCTAATAATGCTCTTAGTCTCCACAGCTATACATGTAGAGAAATTACAGGCCAGAAATGAGGGGCCTACAAAGTATATACTTTTTTTTCTTTTTTTGAGACAAAGTCTCAAGCTGTCACCCTGGGTAGAGTGCTGTGGCATCACAGTTCACAGCAACCTCAAACTCTTGGGTTTAAGTGATTCTCTTGCCTCAGCTTCCCAAGTACTGTGTTTCCCCGAAAATAAGACACTGTCTTATATTTATTTTTTTCTCAAGAAGACACACTAGGGCTTATTTTCAGGGGATCTCATTTTTATTAAGTATAATACAATAATCTACATTTATTCAAATACAGTTAAGTCATCTTCTTCTGGAACCTGACAGGGGTAGCCAACTTTGTTGGTGGGGCTGGCACTAGTGATGCATGAACTCCTTTCCCCTAGCTGTTTGCACGTGTGCAATAGGATACCTGCAACCAAAGTTACCACATGCGCACCCACGCAAGTGCAAACGGCTTGGAGAAAGGAGCTGTGGCACATAAAAGGTATTCCAGTCTTCCTTACCACTCCACACCGAAATGCAGGGCGTGGCTATGCAGATACGCTGCATAGCCATGCCCATCACTAGGTCTTATTATTGGGGTAGGGCTTATATTTAACAAATGCATAGAAATCCTACTAGGGCTTATTTTTTGGGTAGGTCTTACTTTTGGGAAAACACGGTACCTTGGACTACAGGCACCTGCCACAACGCCCAGCTATTTTTTTTGTTGTTGCAATCATCATTGTTGCTTTACCTGGTCTGGCCAGGTTCGAACCTGCCAGCCTCAGTGTATGTGGCTGGCACCCTACCCACTAAACCACAGGCACTGCCATACAATAGATTTAGAGTGCTGTATCATCACAACTCACAGCAACCTCCAACTCTTGGGCTTAAGCTATTCTCTTG